AAGAACAGAAAACTAAGCTCGCTCGAGTGCAAGAATTCCAGCTCGAGCGCCAAGACACAAAGACAAAACACACTTGCTCGAGCGCGAAAGACCAGTCCGTTCGAGCGTAGATTTTCATCTCCCAGAACTTTCACCAACGAGGTACTACCCGTTCGAGCGCCAACAAGCCCGCTCGAGCGCAGCCTGCTCGAGCGCAACCCGCTCGAGTGTAAAAAACACACTTGCAGAAGTTTTGCAGGGACTCGAAATACTGGAAGGGTGTAAACCCCGCTCGAGCGTAAGATGACCCGCTCGAGCGGACCACTCAAAAACTGGGCAACAGCAATGGGAGCCAAAGCTCTACCAACCTGTAACAACCAAGCCCAACACATCCTAAAACTCAAACAAATGGATTTAAAGGACGACAACAAGATAGATACAACTACCAACTCCACGGAACCGAGTCCGAAATACAACTGAGCAGAAAAGGGACAACCGGGATCACTATAGAACCCATTTGTTTTTTCAACTGAAGTATGTACACGCCACATACATCCCATTGATTCCTTATATGCACATTCTGTCGTAACCCTCAGCTTGTCATTTTTAACATACGTAAACTGAAAACCAACATCAATAGCATACTTGCATAAAACAGTACGGAACTTAACCACATCACCCTCAAACTTTTGTCCAACACTCGTAATATTATTTCGCCAACCAGCTGATAATAACACATTTCTTGGTGAGAACAAAACTTAGAGAGTGAATTCCTTTCAATATTCACGAGCCTATCACATTCACCATGCATAACATCTATCCAATTAGACCCCACTTCATCCTCTTCATCAGAAATATTACACCTAATAACGGAAATATCAACTCTATCAACACCACGTGCACAAACAACCCTCAACATGTTTAGAAAATCAATATTATTTCGAACCATACAATTCGGATGGCTAATAATAGAATATGAAATACATATCGTCTTAGGTTTCAAATTCTCTAATGTTTTACACAAAATGCCAACCAATTCCTCAAAATTCAATTCGCATGAAACATTAATGACAATAGTATTATTTTCATATTTGCGTAGCAACAACATTGCACTGTGCATCTAAACTGAAAGAAAAAAACATGAAAAATAACTTGTTCAATATAAAAACACTTCACAAGAACAACATAAAAGTCCATAGAAATTTCTAATAATTCTAATTTTCTCGAGATCATAATCATAAGTTTATAATTTTCTCTAGACTCAAATAAAAGTTCAAAGAAATTTACAAACTTATATTCATCTTCAAGATAACAAAAAAAAAAAAAATACAGAAAAATTAATGAATCTAGAGAAAATCACAGAGAAATTTAATGCTAACTATTAAACGCAATTATAGACAAAAATCACACAGAAGATCTATTATGAAATTATAAGCTTCTCTATGATTTTCACTGGATTACAAGCTTACAATTTTCTTTGTGTGATTGTGCAGTATTGCACTCAAATCAAAATCCAGAGAAATTTACCAACTTATATTTACCTTCAAGATAACAAAAACAAAATCACAAAGAAAATTAATGAGTCCACAGAAAATCATAGAGAAACATCACAGAGAAAATTAATGAGTCTAGAGAAAATTACAAACAAAATTAATACTAACTATTAAACACAATCACTGACAAAAATACATAGAAGATCTGTTATAAAATTATAATCTTCTCTGTAATTTTCACTGGATTAGAAGCTTACATTTTTATCCGTGATTTTCATTGGATTATAATAACAAACATACAATTTTTTTTTGAAATATAAACAAAATTGCAGAAAAAGGGAAAAAAAAAACTGTAGAATAAATGAAAAGTGCCACAAAAAAAAAAAAAAAAAGGGCACAAAACTTAGGAAATAGCAAAAAAATAGAGCTGGTCTCCAAACACAAACAAAACTTATCATTGATAAACATGTAAGAGAGAACGAAAAATCAACTCTAAAAATCAAAATCAACTCCATTGTCAAATAAAAAAGAATGAAAAATTAACTTGAAAAATCAACTTAAAAACCAAACAAAACTACACTAAACTGGCTTTTCTCTCACATTGATTAAAACTGAAAACAAAAACCTAATTCAAAATACACTACAAAAACTTCTCTGAAATCAGAGTCCTTACATACAAATCAAATGAAAAATCAAAAACTTACAGTGATTATTAAACTTACCTGATTCAACTCGATTTTGGAAATGTAGGTTTAATGTATTATTTAAAAATTAAATTTTACGGTTATACCATTATTTCTATTATGTTTCTTTTTTCTTTTTTTATTTATATGTTTTAGAAAGGTAAGGTACACAATATATGAAAATCAAATTTGAAATTCTTTTTTATATAAAAAGAAAAAATTTTATTTGGAAAACATTTCAAAAGGAATACAAAAATGACTTAAAAATGGGATTCTTCAAACATTTCAAAAGGATGTGGGATTTTTCAAACATTTCAAAAAGAGTACAAAAACTACTTAGTAAGTTTTGGCCAAATGTATAATTTTAAACTGTAATACTCCAATATAACACTCAAACGTAACACTCTAATGTAATACTCAAAAAAAAAAAAATTTAAAAAATCTTAGTGCAATACACTAATGTAACACATAACTCTTTACTGTATTTTTTCCAAACGTAACACTCTAATATAACACTTCAAAAAAATTCCTTAGTGTAACACTCTAATGTAACACACAAAAAAAATTTCTTAGTGTATTTTTTTCAAACGTAACACTCCAAAAAAACTTATTAGTGTAATACTTTAATCTAATACATAAAAAAAAAAAACTTCTTAATGTAACATTCTAATATAACATACAAAAAAAGTTGCTTAGTATATATATATTTTTAAATGTAACACTCCGAAAAAATCTCAAGGTGCGTTTAATTCGCCTGATTAGGAGGGAACTATTCACTGTTGGAATTATAATCCGGGGGAAGCTTTTTATCTGACGTTTGTTTTTTTTAGTCCATCGGACATAGAATTCGGCCGGATTCCTTATCCCTCATGTAGGATTATACTACCCAGGGGGGTATGGAACAATTTTCATCGGACTATTTACTTTTGGAATTAGGTGGTAAAATGACCATTTTGACCCTCTACTATTTAATTATGTATTATATTTAGTAAAATTCAATAAAATTTAAATGTCTCAATTTAAAAATAAAATAATTTTATTTAACTTTTTATTGATGTTTTATTTTATTTTTTAAATAATTTTTATAGATATTTTATTGATGTTTTATTTTAAAATTTTGTTTATATTTTATTTAATTTCATTATTTAATTATTACTATTATTATTATTTTTTAAAATAAATTTATTTAAAATTTTAATTGAAAAAATAACATATATTTTTATTGATATTTTATTTATTTAATTTTTAAAAAATAAATTTATTTAATTGTGCAAAAAATAAAATAAAATAAATTTTTATTTAATCTAGCTAAAAATAATTAAAATATTAAAGATATGTTTAATATTGCTATTACTTAGTAAACATATGAAAAATGGTAAAATAGTCTTTTACTCATTTATCTTATCCAGTCTGTCCAATCAAACATTGGATTCACTAAAAATAGTCATTTCTAGATATCTAATCACATGATAAAACAAACACGGGATACACATTTAACCCAATCAAATAGTCCAGCGGATTCACAGTCCTAGGATTCAAGTTTGATGGATTCTAATCCCCCTTTATTCAGTTTGTCCCAATCAAATAGTCCAGGGGATTCACAGTCCTAGGATTCAAGTTCGATGGATTCTAATCCCCTTTTATTCAGTTTGTCCAATCAAACACACTCTCAGTGTATTTTTTTCAAACGTAACACTCCAATATAACACTCTAAAAAAATTCCTTAGTGTAATACTCTAATGTAACACACAAAAATTTCGTAGTGTACTTTTTCTAAACATAACACTCTAATATAACATTATAAAAAACTTTTTAGTGTATTTTTTTCAAACGTAACACTCCAATGTAATACTTTAAGAAAAGAATCTGGGATTCTTCAAACTATTCCAAAAGAAGTACAAAAGTTTCTTAGTAAGTTTTAAGTAAATGTATAATTTGAAATTATGGTGTGTTACATTTGGAAAGTGGTTTTGTATGTATTACGTTGGAGTACGTTACATTATAGTGTTACGTTTGTGATTACATTGATTAGAGTGTTATATTCAGGAAAAATACACTGAGGAGTTTTTTTTTTTTTTTTTTTTTGTTATATTGGAATGTTATGTTTGGAAAAAAATACATTAAAAAGTTTTTTTGAATGCTACGTTGTTACATTTAGGAAAAATATATTAAGAAGTTTTTTAGTATGTTACATTGAAGTGTTACGTTATTAGAGTGTTACATTAGAGAGTTATATTTTTGTTCGTAATGTGGGATTTGTTTTAGAATGAGGGAAAATTCAAAACTTCTATAGTGTTGATTGCTCAAATGTGTAATTTTACATTGGGAGAAGTTCACTTTTATTCTTAAAAAATTAAACCCAAACATATAAGTAACTACCGTTTTATGTAATTTGCATTTTAATGGGACCTTTAAATTCATAAGAAAAAAGAAAAGACTAAATAGTTCGTAAGATCATATTTTGAAATTTATTGATATTTCACCCTATTTACAAAGAAATTTTAAAAAAAAATCAATAAATATAAAAAAATAAAAATATATTGAATTTTTTTAAATTTTTATTTTAAAAAATCAAAAAATTTATACTATTCAAATATATTTAGATTAAGAAAATTTAAAAACTAAAAAAATGATTAAAATACAAAAAAAAACTAAAATTATGAATTAAAAAAAAATTAAAAGTATTTTTAAAAATTAAAAAAGGAAGTGATAAGTATTAAGGCCACACACAAACATCCCATAAGGAAGAAATTAAAAATGGATGGGCTGGCGGGAGATGAATCCCAAGGAGTTGGTTATATCCTAACAAACAAATTTTCATTTTTTTTTTTTTTTTTAACTTCGATGCTCTCTCTCTCTCTCTCTCTCTCTCTCTAAAACCTCGATGGGTTCGCTCGAGACGTCCCTATATAGCTTTCCTTGTATGCGATTTTCTTCTCTTTTCTCTCTCCCTCTTCTTTCATGGCCTCCTTTTCCTATCTCCATCTCCCCCAATTCTACCTCTCGTAAGCCCTCTCTCTCTCTCTCTATCTATATATATATAGTTTGATGTATAGATAGTTTGTACTTGTAGTGTACTTGCAATTTTGATTTTGATAATTAGACAAATCTCTGATTTAATTTTGGTTCCTGGTTGATTTTGTACTTAATTGATTACAAAATTATGGTTCTATAGGGTTGATTGGTTGTAGATTGTCCTTAATCTGTTTTGCTTGAATTTGTGTGTTCTTATTGATAATAACGAAAACAATAGTGAAGCCACATTAGCCACAATCACAAATCAAATCAAAGAAACAAGATATTGATTAATTCTTCATAATCAGTGAAGCATATGTTAAGCTCAGATTCTCTAATCAATCATTAATAACTCCAAACTGATTAGTGTCTGTGTCATGTACCTGTTTCTGTTTCCAAGTTCAAAGCCCATTTCATGGGGCCAGAAAAGAAAAGAAAAATAATAATTACAAAAAAAAACCCCTTAAGTTATGCTTACAGTTCTATATTTGGCAAAGAAAATTGAGGTATAAGATGGTACATCATATGTTCAAAAGAAAATTCCTAAAATTACATTAAAAAAAAATAAAAAATAAAAATTGGAGAGAAGTTCCTTACTACCATTATCACTTTGTGCTGCATGCAGAGGATCTTTTGAATTAGAGTGTAGAGGAAAGCTGAGAGCTAGTGTATTGTATACATCAAGGCTCATTGAGAATGATCAGGAGAATTATGGCATTTCAAGGAGTAGGCTTCCATTTGTATCTCTGCCTACTTGTTATGCGTCTTCATATCAAATTACTCTATCAAGATGTTTTATTTCAAGAGCCTTATCATCAACAGTTTCTTCTGCCAAATCTGATCAAACCGATAGTGGGAACGAGCCTCCTGTTGCTCCAGCTCATTATCCTGCAATGGAATTTAATCGGGTCAATTGTCATGTATGGGTATTGCATGAATCTGCTAGGAGTTTTTCCCTTGCAATTCAGACACTTGAATTGGCTAGAACTGGCCCAGAGCTTTCAATGGCATGGATTGGGGTCGATGTCCATGCATGGCATAAACAAATTGCATATCAGGTAAACCACATGAAAGCATAGGTAGTTTGACATTTTCCTCACCAGACCATGAAACAAATACCTGTGGTTTCATTTCTTATTTACCAATATCATTTATATTGCATTAGACCTTTTTTTTCTTCCAAATTTTAGGTAAGATTTGAAATGATGACATGTTGGATAAGTTAAAATAGAAAATCTTTGTTGAGTCATCGGAATGCGTGAACTGAAAAAGGCATCATTTCCTATTATGGTTGTACAGGTGGCAGTGTATGCTTTGTTAAAAGCGGCAATTGAAGTGGAATTATTTCTTTCTCATAAACGTAGCAACAATCCTTCTGCTGTTCATGTGATGTAAGTACTAGAGAACGTCTCTGGGAAATCCACTGGATGCGATTGAATTTGGGAAGTCTTGTAGATTTGTAGTTTTTCATGAAACTCAATAACTGCTATGCACAGAAAAGTTTTGTTTCCTATCATAACTTGTTGGCTATGGAATCAATTACAGAATATGATCCATCTTAGTCACCTGAAACCAAAAATGATAGGTTTAACTCTTTCAATTTCTTTACTGGCTATTTTGGTTTGAAGATCTATGCATTTAATCCCAATTTTTGGGAGCTTGATGAAACCCCAAAATTTTGAATCTTGTCACAAGATTCTGCTTCAGTAGTTGCTAGGTCTTATTGTTCTTTTCTCCAGTTATAATGCGAATGGTAAGAATGTTGATTTTGGAGTTAGGACTGATGTTTTTTTCATTTTATGCTTCAGCTTAACCCCAAAGACAATCTTTCTGGGGGAATGTATTGAAAGTCAGTTGAATGTAAGGCACCCAAAGTTGGTACAGTGGTTTAGAATGGTGGAAGTACCACGTATAGCAGGACTATTCATTCCCTTATTCAAGAAGTGGTCTATGGAATATGCAGGAAGGTTTGCTCATAGAAACCTTTATGTTATCTTGAAATAACTCTTGGCATTTTATTATGACTTTCCAATTTGTTTTATTCCATTAGAATGAGTGCATAATCTTTCTATTCTGATGCACCTGGCACGCATAATTTACATGCAAATTTATCCAGTGGTGTTGCAGGAATCATTCTGGCGATAAGTTGCTGTGCTGCAGTGAGGAAGTTGGGTTCAGGGCGTGTATCTTGTACTTTATTCTCATTATCTATTGAGGATGCATTGATAGAGCTCATGAATTTCTCACACGATCTAGTTTCAGTGGATAAGTTACATTCCTTAGCAACTGAGGCAGGATTTGAAGAAGACTTCCTTTTGCATTTTGGTAAAAAGGTTCTGCCCAGTAAGAACATTGAAGAAGTAGAATTTTGGATTGGTTTGGTTCAGAAAAAACTTTCGACAGCATTCCGCAGGGAAAGTGTCATTTCAGGCAAGCAAATTTTCAGTGACAAGGTCAGTTCTGTGATTCATTAAATACTCTCCTGTCATCTCTTGCAAAAAATGCTTATTGGAGTAGTAGTAATGTAAGCTTCTTAGCTTTTAATTAATAATTTATTTATTTTTTAAGTGAATATCAAACTCAGTGCATGTACCACTTGACAATCATTTTACATCCCAATTCTCCATGGCTAGATGTATATATTGAAATAAGAGAAGTCTTTCTCGTATACTTGAACTTTAGAAATCTCCCTCAGTGATCAATCTTATCAAATTTCTTTTGTATTTGAAATTCGTACTCAAATTAATATATTTTGACAATATATACCAATTCAGCATCTTCAAGTAGTTCTTGGTGGTACACTTTTGGCAGGTACAAGAGAATAGTTTGGCCACTCTTGGACTTTTTGCATTTTTGGGAAGAGAGACGAGATTATTCTTGTTGATGTATATATTGAAATATATACAATCATAAGAAATTTGATAAAGAAATATATACAATCATTTTACTGGCTATTTTGGTTACTGAGGGACAATTATTTTTTTTTTAAGTGAATATCAAACTCAGTGCATGTAAATATTGAAATAAGAGAAGTCTTTCTCGTATACTTGAACTTTAGAAATCTCCCTCAGTGATCAATCTTATCAAATTTCTTTTGTATTTGAAATTCGTACTCAAATTAATATATTTTGACAATATATACCAATTCAGCATCTTCAAGTAGTTCTTGGTGGTACACTTTTGGCAGGTACAAGAGAATAGTTTGGCCACTCTTGGACTTTTTGCATTTTTGGGAAGAGAGACGAGATTATTCTTGTTAAGAATGGGTATAAAGGATCTAGATGAGCAGGTTAAGGACTTCCTCAGGTAAATTCTTCCATATGTAGGTGTTTCAACTTTGACATTGATATACAGCTATTTAAAGAGGTTCTAATGCCATTCCTGCAGTTACTTGGAATGCGGCAGCCTCTTTATTTACCCTGAATTTTCTTCCCTATCTGAGTATCGGCTCTTCATGGAGGTTAGTTTGATTAGACTGTTATAGGATATACAAATTGGAATTATCCTGATACGTTGACTTTTCTGTTGCAAACTTGCAGGTAGTAACTGTTGAAATCGGATGGCTTGACTTTTATTCTTCATTTCCTAGCATATTCAATCAAGAGAGAAGAAGGTCCAAACAACGTGCAATCCAAGCAGAGAAGGAAATTATTCTAAATACTGTTTTTACTGTTTGCTATGATGTTTTCTCTGGGTTTGCTCACTTCACCAGTTCAACTCAACAACCGTTGGATGCAAATCTGCTTGCATTTTTACTCCAGAGGTAGAACATTTTCCAAGCTACATATACATATGGTGTACTATTTTTGCTTATGTTAGTTGGCTTTTAAATAAATGAGCTATATAATTTTCTAGTCAGAGCCTGCTATCTATTTGTCTGGAGGACTACTGGGCTGCTTATGATAGATCAGGGTATGCTGGCTCTACTGGATTATTTTTTTCTCTTATTATTAACTGCAATTGGATAACCAATTACCTTAAGGAGAATGAAACAATGCTGCTTGTTGATTTTCTCAAGAAGTGAGCTGCCAAAATTTGCAGAAAGAGGTGCCTCTGACTCATCACCGTCTTCACAATTGAAAGGCAGAGCAAATTCATCTGTAATATTGGAAGCAAATCCAAAGCCAATCGACTTAATGAAAAGTGGTGATCACCAACATGGATCTCGACTGAGTAACGTATGATCTACTAAGGATTATTGTGATGCCGTCATGTCGGTTAACTATAATATTGTGTCCTACAATAATATTCTGCTAAAAAATTAATGACCTCTATAAGCAATTTTCACAAATACAATGGGCTATTATTACTATTTTTCTTTTCCTTTTTATTTTTGACGAACTCTTTAAAACAACAGGGTACTGTCTTTCTAAATAATTTCTACATAATTTCTCAAATGATTATGATAATACTTTGTGAAATGATAAAACAAAAAAATGGTTTTCTACCAGCCTGCCTAACTGTCACTCTGTTATGTAGTTGTAAGTATATTCGTATGTTGATTTATATGTTGTCTGAAGCCTTGTTTTTCTTTTAATTTATCTTTTCACACAAATTCATAAATGTTAACAGTACTTGCTTATAATGGCAGGCTACCGACCCAGTTGGGTTGGACCCCATAACCGTAGCAGAGATGGTGTATGTTGCTGAATCAGAGCCCCTACACAAGAGTTTGCTTAGGAAATCCACCTACACGCTGATATCTGCCAGTGCTGTAAGGCTTAAGGTTCCATATAGTATTTGGCTTAAAATATGAAGTGCAGGTGCTGATATTGCAAACTGAACTGTCTTATAGGATATGTGGATGGGTAGTCAGTTACTTTTTATAGACATCTTGGATACCATGGGGCTTCTTATGAAGAAATTGCGTGGCAACAAGGTTACAAAAAGGGAGAGGAGGAAGATAGAAAGAACACTTGCTGACATTGCTTCACTCATCCCAATTATAATCTTAATGCTGCTTCCTGTAAGAACCTATCTGACTTTTTATTTTCAAGTGTTCCCATACAAAACTTCAATTGTTTCTTGAAACTTGTCAATTCTTCACCGGTCACTAGTCAATAGCATCTACATTGTAATTTAAGATCATCAGTAGGTTTTGTTGAGAACCCATCTCTCCAATAGCTTAAGCTTTTAGATGAGTCGGTGGTCAACAATTTAACATGGTTTCTGAGTAGACAATAGATTTTGTGCTCTAATATCACCACTTATCCGATAATTAAAATCTTTGCACATATTTGGCCTGCGCATGGAAGAGTCTTTGTCCACACTTGAGGGGGCGTGTTGAGTGAGATTGATTAGGTCACCTAGAAAGGAAAACTTGTCTAAGAAAAATGGATAGATTGATATGTTGATTCACACCTGATACCTTTCTACTGATAGTGATGGTATCCAGTTAATAATAACGTTTCCCTTCTTTCTAACAGCTTAAGCTTTTTGGATGGGTTGATTAACAAATTCAACATAGTATTAGAGCTAGCGATAGATCATGTGTTCGAATCTCACCAAATGTTATTCTACTGATAGTGGTGGTATCCAGTTAATAATAAAGTTTCCCTTCTTTATAACAGCTTAAGCTTTTTGGATGTGTTGATTAACAAATTCAACATAGTATTAGCGATAGATCATGTGTGGTATTGGGGGTTTGAGAACCCGTCTCGCTAATAGCTTGAGCTTTTAGATGAGTTGATGGTTAACAATTTAACAGATTTTAACCACCTTTGTAGAAGCTAGAAGGCAATATGAACCAGACAGAGGAGGCTGAGAAAGGCTCATTTACATTTTTGATGAAATCATAAGAAATTTGATTAGTAATGACACATTATGTTCCCCAGTATATACAAAATTTAGGCCTCTCCCTTGATATTGGTTTTGCAAACTGCCTGGGGATCAATTGCGTTGGTCATGTGGTACAGATTACTATGGGCATGCCATTGATCATCAACCAAGGTAGCTTTAGGTTATGTACAACCACTGAGCACAGGAAGTTACCAAACCTGCCGTCTTTATGGATTTTTTTTTCTATCCTATCTGCATAGTCTGACCTGTATGAATCAAGTTGTAATCACCGCCTTCTAGTTTGTCATATTTATTTCAAATTTGGAGTAAATGATTAATGGCTAATTCAACTAATCAGAACAGTCTATGAAAATGTACCATGCTCAACTTTTTGCCTGGTGTAAGAAATCCAAATTGAATTTCCAGTTGCAATATTTTTGTGAAGAGTGACTGATAGTGGCATGAATTTCTTTTACTCCATTGTCTCTCTAGAAAGATGATTCAATCCTAATAATTTGGTACTGTTAGCAAAACATCCACATTTATCTTTGCTCATAATCAAATGAAGCTGACAATAATACCACTTGATCATTGGGGACCAGGTATCTGCTGTTGGGCATGCAGCCATGTTAGCAGCAATCCAGAAGTACATGCCACGCTTGGTAAAATCTTGTCAACCCCATGCTGATATATCTGCCTTAACCATGATCATATTTCTCTCTGCTTATCTTTCCTTTATTTGTACTTGGAACTAGATCCCCACTCCATATTCACCTGAACGGCTGGATATTGTGAAACAACTAGAGAGAACTAAGAAGATGAAAATTCAGTTGCAGATCAACACTGACGATGCTTCCTCTATACTTTTCTGAGTAATTTTTCCAAGATAATCGATATTTCTAGTTGGTATTATTGCAAAGTGACTGCACTTCCTTGCAATGACCCGAAACTCTGCTATGGAAATATAGGTTGATGCACATGTATATATATACATTGAAGTGCAATGTAATCTGTTATTTTAATGTATAGTTTTATTTCCCATTTCTCTTTTTGATGAAGCATGTAGAGGTAAGCTTGGTGGTACATGAGGTTCTTGGATCATCACTACCCAATGTGGCACAACATACACCCTGATATTTTTTTTTCGTTTTTCTTTTCTTGTGTATATATATGTAACGTATTGATGTTTTAATTTGTCATTTTGTTGTCATTTATCACTTTAAAATTTTATTTTTGAACACGTTATACTGATTGGATTGTTATTTGTCACTCCATAATTTTTTTTAAGATTTTTTTTTTTGAACACCTGTTGTGTTTGAAAGTCAACTATTCAAGTCTTGTACTAGGCAAGACAACGCAGACACCCCTTTCCAAAGCTACTTCCTCCATAATGCTAAAGACAACGTAAGGGCTATCATTAATCTTAATATATGTATAAAGTGTGTAAATATATGTTAAAAAAAAATTAAATTGAATTTTGTAAAAATATTCAAGAATTATATAAAGCGTATTGAAAGTTGAATTTGTTTGGCTTTATTTACTTTTTGTTGACAATGACCCAAAAACAAATACAAAAACTTTGCAGATAGTTGTGATGGCACAAAATCTAGGGCACAAGAACATCTGATTTCCTTGAAAGCACTCACTGAGAAGGAACTGTCCCCCAGCTACACAGCTGAAAATACACATGGACAGCATTAAAAAGGAGTTGCAAATTTAAATTAACCCAAAAAAATAAAAAGAAAGAAAAAAAACAAAATATTCAACTCTACAAATTCATTACAAGGGGAGAGAAATTCGAAATTCATCAATGCCTGATTACAATATCCAAAAAATAAACTAACAGCAGAACCAGATTCTCACTTTTCTATGCCTCTTGGGTACACAAGGATGTCCATGAAACTTTTTTCACTCTCCACTTCCAGTATGGGAATAGTCCTTCAAATTTATCAACTATAACTCAGTTTTGAAGGGAACCGTCATTCTTTAAGATCTGTGCTGGAACATTATTACAAAAGAATATAAAAACCTTCATCATCGAAAAAGAAAGAAAGAAAGAAAACCTGCTTCAAACATATATAAGCCCCTATTGAAGTCAGAAGGAGGTCCTCTGCAGTCGAGCATTGATACCAAGACTCAGACCACCCTTTTAGGATCACGAGCAGCTGCCAAATGATCCTGCAAGACCAACAGAAATTCCATTTAGTATGACATAAAAAACGATGTGGTTTGGGAATGATGCTAATTAGTCTATGGACAAAACTAAAAGATACCAAATAATATGATCCAAAATTTTAGAAATAACAAAAACTACGTGACAAAAAAATCAAATTCTATGCAAAGGAGTGCATTTAAAGAAGAACCGATTCAACATCATGGGTTGGCTTTTTATGTGTCATATGCAAACACTATAAAAAGACCACAAGGTAAACAAACCACGTCAATCTCACCTTCTTGTACAAGTAAAATCAACCACTGAATCCACGAGCATAGCTTATAGTTCCAAAATTAACAAAAATTAAAAATCCATTTTTGCCAATACAAAAGCTTATTATGCAATGATATGCATATAAATATACAAGCATACTGCCTAGACTCTCCACATAAACCATTGGACGTTCTATAAAAACAATTCCTCTTTTTCTAGCCACAAGTAAGGCTCTCATGGTGAATCATGACTACCTTGGATGGCAATTGATCTTGACAGATCATGTGCACGGTTCTTTTTTTCCCAGTAGACAAGAAAACAAGGGGACTTTAGCCTGACAACAAAGTTCAGAGACCAACCGAAAAACACCTAACCCAGCTTTCTACTAATAGACACAACACATAACCCTTCAAAGTTCAAACCTCATAAATTAGCCACTAAAGAAATCCCAATATTATGATAAACAAGAAGACGCAGAAAAACCCAACTATAATGGTGACAGCTACAAGGATAGAACTCTGAATAAATTTAGAAGTTGGCTGACAAACCTTAGTAGCAGGAATCGTCTCAGATGGCGACGACTCCGAGGAAAAAGCGCGATTTTGCGCTTCTGAGGAAGGATCGCATCAGAATCGCGAATCTGAGGAGAGGGAAACGCGAATCTGATGCGGGAAGGGAGCACTATTGAGAGGGCAAACGGAGTACCTGGTCGCTGGCTTCGATCCTCCGTTCGACGACTTCGATCTCGCCGTTTGACTTCCCCGTCGAAGCCCTAGTCTTCGTCCCTCTCTTCGAAGCCCTAGGTCTTCGTCTCTCTCTCTCTCTCGCTTCTCTCACCCTCGATCTCCTCTTCGTCTCTGTTGCGTCTCTGCTTCTCCCTCTCCCGATCTATGTTGCGTCTCTTCTTCTCCCTCTCTTTCTTCGTCTCTGTTCTCTCTGTCTCTCTCTCTTTCTTTCCCTCTTTGATTTCATTATTTTGTATAACATAATTTATCATATATAATATAATATATATAATATAATTTATAATTTATAAATTATAAATTATATTATATATATTATATTATATATGATAAATTATGTTATACAAAATAATAAAATTGAAGAGGGAAAGAAAGAGAGAGAGACAGAGAGAACAGAAACGAAGAAAGAGAGGGAGAAGAAGAGACGCAACATAGATCGAGAGAGGGAGAAGAGTTCAAACCTCATAAATTAGCCACTAAAGAAATCCCAATATTATGATAAACAAGAAGACGCAGAAAAACCCAACTATAATGGTGACAGCAACAAGGATAGAACTCTGAATAAATTTAGAAGTTGGCTGACAAACAGATATCTAAATATTGACCGCCTGCATACATGTGCCACAATCCAAAAATCTATATAAAAAATAAATAAATAAATAAATAAAATTCAAAAGCAACATGGTCAATTAGGAGAACTCCAGCTAACTTTCAAAGCAACTATATAAGATGATGAAGGGAGAAAATGCACTCAAGAAGCCTATACTACTAATAATAATGAATGGCCCTATTCTAAGCCCTACTGTTCTAAAGTTACAGCTTGAAAGCCGTAAGATGATGAAGTGATTTTCAATATGGCAATCTTTAGTGAAATGTTGGCTCTCAAACTTACCGAGATAAAATCAAATGCTTTGGTCTCCTCTTTCTTTGAACTGTTCATCACTGGACTGGGAGTTTGAGTCGGAATATTCGGATTGAAAATATCAGGCAGAGCTGCAGAATATACCCCTCCTATAGTTCCAGCAGCATGACTAATATCGGCATTTTGAGATTGCAGGTTCCCCAAATGTTGGAAGTTGGACACTGCTGCTAAGAACTGCTGCTGGGCTAAGAAACTCCCCATGGAGGCATAACTCACTGGCTGGGAAGGAAAAGCGGGGTTGAACATTAAGCCAGATGGCATATTATATGCCATAGGACCCAAAGGAAACATAGAATTCGCATTCACCCCCGTTGCTTGAGAACCAAGTATTCCATTCAAAACATTGTTCGAAGCCTGGTGATTGGGATTCACAGCAGACTCAAAGAACATGTTTTCAGAGAGTGACCCGGGGGAGGTCCCTTTCTGCTGTGTCATTGAGGCATTTTCATTTATTGACAAACCAGCCATTAGATCGTGAACATCTTTTTTATGATTTTCCTCCTGCAGCAGAATTTCAGAATTGGACCCAAAGATATTGAACGGTTCGGTTCCATTTCCATTTGCGGTCTTATGGACCTCATTTAATACTGGTTTATCAACATTCATTCCTGAAAAAATATCAGCCATGTGCTCTTTGTTGTCGTTGGTGTGAAATGAGACATCAGCAAATGGGTCATCATCCTTTTTATGTTCACTGGCACTTACACCAGTGCCCAAACTAGCCCCAAATAAATCATCAAATATAGGGGCAGTTGATGTCTTTGGATTCACAATGTGTTGGTCACTCTGCATTTTAATAAAATCTTCTGTACTATTGTCATCATCAGCACCACCAGTGTCTATTAAGTCAGGCAGCTGAACGGTAGTTGCCTCAGGCTTTATTGGCTTTTCTGGATGATTCATTCCGTTGTCGGTCTGTTCTCCACCCAGAAGGATTAACACCTACACATCAAAGACCACATATTTATATAGGCTACAAATTACTACACAGATAGAATTAATCCATGGGATCACGCAAGAAAGAAGTCTCTGACAAGGTACAGATTGGCATTGGACATCTCCACAAGAAAATGAATAATTGTATCATATTGCCAAGGTACAATATACTCGAAAAAATCTATCAAGTAAAAAAAAAATGAAAAACCATGCAAAAAATATGATACACATTAATGGCACAGCTAGGCATAGAAAGAACCACATGCTCAGCAAGTCGCAGCTAAAGGGATATTTTTTTTAGAACTAGAGCATAGTATACGTTAAATTCTTTTCAGAGTGGAAAAGTTAGTCAACAAGACTTGAATGGCATTTATTCAAAAATAGAAAAGAACATTTGGGTGTTCAGTCTATCTTGTTTTGCTTTAAGAAGCCAATAAAAATATTCATGAAACCAACTGCAATAAAAGTTATTGCTAAATATACCGCCGATTTTTCATTATAGCCAGAGAGAGAGAGAGAGAGAGAGAGACAAAAGGTTGTTTATTCACCATAAAAGGTTGACAACTTTTTAATTTTTTATACATAGCAGCAATTTAGAATCATAGCTAAATTCATTTAGTTGACCAAAATTACTAAAATTTCCAACCAAAGAGACAAATTTTCTACAGTAAAATTCACTAGCTGTAGAATTTTTCCCACGGGGAAGGCCAAAGTAATTATCAGGCCAGTCACGAATTGCTGGTCTGCCACTTCCTAAAGCCCCAACTCCCTTGATTGACAGTAATGGTGCTATTAAATTGATTTTTAGTCCTAAAATGTGCCCAAAGAATTGAAGGATAAACGTGAGTTTACACACTGTCAGAATAAGCAAGGTAGACAAGAAGGTACCATTTGCAAACCATCAAAATTCCGCATCACCTTACATCTGAGTTTCAGTGTTCAAGCCTTTAGTCAAGTTCTTAATTGTCCATCAGTAATAAGCCCATTTAAGGTATAAAGAAAAAATAATAGCCCATCTCCCATGCTGATCCCTCTAAATGCATAGAACCAACCTCTTAAATCTCCCTTGCCCAATGAAGCGCTAATTAATAAAAGCTGTGGGTACTTGAATCCATAATCCATCAGTCTCGAGGTCAACTAATCACCATATCTTAAGACCTATTCACTAAATAAAACCCCTTTGTGCTTAAACTGCATTCAGAATCCATCCACCATTGGTGAAAGCTCCTTTCAAGATAATGTTAAGAAGGCATCGCCAAACCCAAAACAGTGGACCTTCACAATGACTTATTTAACTCATGACTGAAGCTAATTGTTCAAAGTTCTCTATGGCTAGGAGGGCCTGCCTTTCCTAAGATAGATAAACAAAATGTGCAACACAAAACACCTCCAAGGACATTCATCAAATCAATTTCAACAGATTAAAGGGAAGATTCAGTATCATAGATCTTAAAAGTAGGCTCACCATTCTCCAATATAGATTTAAGCTAATGCAGGAGCATGTATTGGCTCCACAGAAAATTGATCATCTAGTATCTTTGAGGTGTTATCTGATGCATACATGGATTCCGAACATGTAATCGTGAAGCGAGCTCCTCTAAAAGTTCAAAAAATTAGGCAGCATTTGGTAGGACTTTCTAAATATGATCTGAGAATAGGAGTTGTATTTTGTATTTGTAAGTTTTGGAATTATGATTTGAGTGTAGAAAATTTGTTTGATGAATAAGTTTTGAAAAGAGTTTTGAATTGAGTGAAAAATTTTTGATGTGATATATGATATTTGATACAAAAACTTACAACTCATAACTAAACACACAACTCAAAATTCTATTACAGCACATAAATTTTTTAAAAAAATTCGGAAAATATTTTTTGTTGAATATATAAAAAATAACATGTGTCAATTGCAAAAAAAAAAAATTGCACTGTTCCAGTCAATCGGGCGGACGATCAGTGAGACATCTGGTTAGCCCAAATTTTCCCGCCTTTGATCGAGTTTTTAAAAGTAAGCGTGGAATTAATTTTTGAAAGCTGCAAACAAACGTCATATGCAAACTAAAGGGTGGAACTAAAGTTCCAAAACCCTTCCAAACACAGCCTTAGAATTTCCTACAAAGTTTTTGTCTGTAGCAATCCAGGTCCTGAACCCCTAGAGACTGAGGCTGTTAAGCAAGAAGATATTGATTGCTCTCTCTTTTGATGTCCGTTGTTTGCAAGCTGATTAATGCCAATGAAGTCATCATCTGTGAAGCACAGGTATGGGTACAGTACGATACGGGTACATCGATACGGTAAATTTCAAAAAAAGTAGAATACGGCTACAACTTGGACTTGGTACGCTTGTAAAAAAATATTTATTTTAATTTTTAGTAATATAAAAATTAATTAAATGATTTAATTTGTTAAGATCCAACGTACAATTAACATTTAATGCCAAGAGTAAAGGTATAAACTAAAATTAAATGTCATTATATTAAATAACTTACAAACCATACCTTAATTTTAAAATTATGCTAAGTATAAAACTAAAAATAAAAAAGAAGTCTAGTGAAATGAATTTTATTTTTGTAGTAGAAAAAAATATTATTTCGATGAAGGTGAGGTACGGTACGGCTCGAGTATATACTATGTACATCTGGGTATGCCAAAAATTAAGAAGAAAATTTTTTTGTACGTGTTTTGTGTACCGGTACATATGCAAAAGTACCATACGAAGTACCATATGCCGATAAGTACCTGGTACAGGTACAACATGTTTGTCGAAGTACCCATGCTTCATAGGTCATCATTCATTAATCCACATACAAAGGAGACTAAACAGATATACTCTTTCTATTCATCATAACATGGCTCTGCAAAGTTGTTGTCCAATGTTCAGGGTTGTAATGGGTGGTTCCCTGAGGCCATTTATTCCCCTTCATTTCCTCATTCGAAACACGAATGGAACACATCGAAGAGAGAATATCAACCACATCAATAAGAAAGAATCTCACCTTGTTTGACTTTTCCCTCAAAGAAGCTTGGGGAGACTCAGAACATCTTGTGATAGCATCTTTATTTTCACTAAAATAAGATGACACAATAAAGAACTGCTCAACATCTTTTTTCCTCAAAATTGCCTCAAGAACACAGGTAGCCTTCACACGGACCTGAAAAGTTATAATATACACCCCAAAAAAAGAAAAAGAAAAGATGAAGAAGTTCAGTGAGGCCATTGATAAGCATATCAGTAGCAGAATTAGAAATAGCCTTGCCTAAAGATAATTTCACTTCAAGTCATTTGTGTGTGTATGAGCACATGTGTTGGGCGCAAGAAAGAGCAAGTATGCAGTCATAAATTTTTGAGTCATGTAATCTATATATTCTTAAAAATGAGCATGCTTTCGATGAATGAAACTCCATATCTATGCATATGTTGTCATATTTTAATATATCATGAAACCAGTACATCAACCTAAAGAAAACATGCCTGCCACAAAGGAGAGAGGAGTTTTGATTCAAGGGCATGACTTAAAGCCAATGCATCCAACTTTGAGGCCTCCACAAGGAAAACCTGCAGTGCATCTCTTGTAGGTTGTAGACGGACACCACCAGATGTTACAATAGTCTCCAATAACCTCTCTTCGCGAGTCTTATTCTCAGCATAACTTGAACTGGCATCCCCATTAGTTGTTTCTGTCTGGTTAATCCTCAAATCCTGGCCCCAAGGTCCAGAATTGACATTCTTTGAGAACCGTGAAGAGCTCTGTGCTTCACTGTGATGTTCAGCTCGATCATATCTATCTGGGTAGTCCATTTCTGTATTCAATGACCTCCGAAGATTAGGACTCTTGTAACTTCCAGTGTCATTCTTCTTCATTGATGGGGCATGTGTTAAACTACTCAATCCCTGCTTTATTGTAGCACTTCCGATACCAACTACCTCACTTAGAAAAGATTTCTTATCTTCTGATGGCATTTCGTAGTTCGTATTCCCAAAACCTTGTATTCGTTTATTAAGATCCTCTGCAGATGCCGGCTTATTGTCATCCGCAGAAAAAATTGCAGATATAGTTTCATGGGCTGTGTCCCGCACAGCCTTATTTAGAGAATCCCCCTTCAGAGGATGCAACTGGCCCTTGTAGTGAAATAACTGGCGCACAGCTGCTGAATTTCTTTGCATTTCCCTCCTGAACTCCACACCAGATTTTACCACTGCATACTTGATCAGCCTCAGAGCCTACAAGAATCCCAAAAGAAATAGCACCAAAAAGTATAAAAATTTATATTGCCAAGTCAAAACTATCTCATTATTTTCCCTAGTAATCCGAATTTTTTTTTTCATCTGTCCAGTACAACAAATCTCTATTATCAAGTAATAGCTCCAACTAAATTAACATGCATAACATTAAATTGAACATTGTTATATGGGTTTTCGCGTAAAACCTTTCCAAGAGGCTGTACTGTGGAGCTTCGCAAATCTGAACATCTTTCTCAGAAATCCAAGTTACATAGAACATTTCCGGTGGATCAACCAGCCAGAACTTGTTATATGAAAAATCAAACTACGCCAAAAGGTTACAAGAAGCAAAACATAGATGCCCATTTTCCAGCATGCAATCAACAACCCAAACCCAGTTTTGAGCAGATACAGAAAATTACATAAACTCAATCAAAAGAAAAGAAATGATAAGCACACAAGAAATAACAACCCAACCCCAATTTTCTAACATGCAATTAGGAACACAGATTGCAAACAATTTCAGCTAATTGATCTGCTAATTAAGAAGTTATTAACAATCCAAGAAACACAATACCTTTTGTTTAACAATTGGGCTCTTATGATCAAGTCGTTTGAATATAAATTCAGAGACTTCTTTAACAATACTGACATGCGCAGATCGAAGAAGCTCGCAAATTTCCTCCAATTTGTAAACAGGCGTAACTTTATCTTCATCCGATGTCGCTCCATCGATCATCTTCGATCGCCAGTACGATTCAACAGCTCTCCTACTCGAATCCATATCTCTCTCTCTCTCTCTAACCTCCAATCTATTCACTCTGTTTCACAGGTCCACCAAAACTCGAATCAATTCAAAACCAAACCAAATGCAATGTTTTCAATATTGGATTGATCTTTAGAGGATTACTAACTGAAATTTGAAGATTCGAAGATTGAATTGTATCGTTTTATGGACGAAATTGAAGAATTTCAGTGGGTGATGATTAGGGTTCTTAATTGGGGGAGAAAGAGGACGAAGGTTCTTCTTCTTGTTATTGTTCTGGAGTAGGGACGGTTTTGGGTACACAGCCAAACACCATATATGTGGTTTACGTTAAGAGTGACGTGGAACCCACCGCGCATAATAGCACACATGAGGCTTCCACTGAAGCCGCCACCTACGCCGACGATTAACGGCTCTGACATTGGGCCTATTGCTTTGTCGGTACATGTAAAAGTGTTCCATGCTCTTGGGCCAAAGTCTGTTAGGACTTTTGTACTTGGCCCAAATTCATACAATCTTTCATTTATTTCCAAAGATTTTAGTTTGGTGTTGTTTCATTTTCAAATTCTCAAAAAGACAAAAAAAATTAAAATAAAAAACTTGAGAAAATTACTAAAAAATAAAATAAATTTGGGATTTATTTTCATAAAGTTAAATTTATGAAAAATATATATTTGAATCATTTAAATCAGTGTAGGTTTAAAGTACTCACTTTCATTAAAATGTATTTTTCTAATAATTTTACTTAACAAAAATAAATAGATAGTTTAGATTGAAAATAAATCAAAACATTAGAATTTAAATTAACAAAATTAAAAACGCAAAATTTATTTTGTTATAAGACTCAAAACCCAAGATTTTTTTTAACATAATTTTGTCAAAAAAATTGCTTGAAAATTTTATTTGAAAAAGTTTATCAAACACTCATCTATACAATCTTGTTTCGATAATTTAATCATTCATTTTGTTAAATTTTTTGTGTATATTATTTATAAAAAAAATTAATTCGATCAAAACATAACAAAAAATTTAAGTTTCTTAACTTATCCTTCAAAGCATAAGTTAACAAAATCCTAGTTACTTACCGAATAAAGCTTAAGACCCCCAGTGGGGGTGCTGGGGGTCTGTTTTCATTGGTCCAAAACTTTCACTGGCAGCCCCCCCGCATGGAGGTAGGGGTGCTGGGGGTGCTTTCGTACTGGGGGTCCGAATCACGGCTCTTAGTCACCCGAATAGTCCAACAATTCATGTTTGTCAAGCAATATAGCCTAAAATTCACCATTATTGCATTTGAAACCCAATTGGGTAAAAATTATAACTCCTAACCATGTGTAAGCTACATTTGTATTCAACTAGCCACACTTGCAACATTTACAATATCATCAGATTCATCAACAATCATCTCATCTCTAAAAAGAATTTTGAGAAATGGAAGAACTTTGGGAAGTACAGGTAGGTCTGCTAAGTTAACACTCATCAAATCGAAAGTGATACATGTTTTATGCATGTGAGTCTCATCAAAAACCGGGATTTTTGGGTATCTTTGGCTGAAGTGGGTGAGAATGATGCGGTATGCTCCAGCTGAATTTCCAACTTCAATGGCTTCCTTTGTTGTGCTGTGGTTTCTTGCTATAGCCTCGTCTACCATTGCATCCTCAAATGTTGCCTGCAAGTAACAGTGTAAAAAAAAAGGTTTAATCTCCTTTCCTCTGTTTACAGCATCTAAAACAATCAGAAATCCGGATGATAGAATTGCTATTCAGAATTACCACAAGAACTGAATCAATAAAGATAAAATAAAACTGTTTCCCTATGCCAACAAAGCAAGTATGAGCAAACATTGGACAATGTAAGTGCATTCCTCGACCTACTTTGAACGAAGATTCAAAGCTAAGTGATCGATGTGGATGCACAAAGAACAATAGTGACTCCATCTACTTGGAACATATTTAGAGATTTAGATTTCCAGTACCTTATTTTAAATGCTACTAATCTGATCTGAGAGTCAATATTTAGAGATTTAGATTTCCAGTACCTTATTTTAAATGCTACTAATCTGATCTGAGAGTCACTCTTCAGAGTTCTGACCAGGCTCATAAGTAATTGGTCTAGTTTTGGTAAGTTTCTACCACACAAGAAGCAACCTCCATCTCACTCCCCCAGAGATTGTATTTTTTTTTTTTTTTTGGGATGATGTATCCGGGTTTTTTTTTTTAAAAAAAAAAAAATAGTTTCGTTTTTCTACTGTCAACTTTATTCAAGTACAGAGTTGTACATCCATCTGTGTCATGCCGACCCAAAGATCCTACAGAACTGTTTTAGGGACGAATAAGGGTTATCTGAATGAAGTAACAAGCTAAAAAACAGCAAAAATGCACAATGTCATGAGAAAACTTGCCTCGTGTATAAGAACTGTTGCTTCATGAGATGCCTTAATTAGTTCTGGGCAGGGTCTACTGTCACCAGAGTACACAATCTTCCACCCAGGTACCACTTTTCCAGCACCATTGATCCGATCAGTTGCCTTCAAGGCAGCACCATATGCCTGTGGACAGTGCACCACAGGAAAACTTATCAAAGCATCTAAACCCACTTCTCTGAGCACTTCTTTCAAGTTCTTCAAAATGGGAAAAACCACAGCATTGTTAACAGGACTATCTGGTCTCCTCCAACAGTTCTGCATACAAGTTCCTTTAGCAAACAAAGTAGAATTAATGTCTTCATTTGTTGGCCCAACAGTGCTTATATGGCTTCCCGGAGGGAAGAGATTGTTGTTTGATTCAAAAGCTTCCAATGAAGCTTCTGTGGTGTGCCTGCAATCGAGGAACTGCATATCTAGATCTTCAAGTACTTTGGTATGCATCTAGAAATCGCTTAAGCTGCCTAGGGCCAATAACCAGCAAAGGTTCATGTGGCAATCCCTTCAACAGATCTCGTCGTAGAGCAAGTATTCTTGATAGACCTGTATGGTGATCTGCATGAATATGAGAAATCCAAATACATTTTAAACCTCTCACAGCATCATCAGCACCCTCAACACCAAATCTGTTCTCGAAAAACAAAAACAAAAACAAAAAAACCCAGGTGTTATAAAAGATATGGAAAAGCTATAACAATGTTGAAATGTAATGGACATGGACACTAGGGGACAGGAATGGGGCGAGGGAGCGAGAGCATATAGAAATCTCTAAGTTTGGAAGCGCCTATGGGATTGTGTATATATTTAACATTTTTTTTTTTTTTTTGGCTTAGTTGTAATATGTGTTCAAATATGAATTATACTTGAAAATTGATGTCAACTACAAATTCTTTGTTAAATATCAAAAAAAGTACTAGAATGAGTTGAGTTGCATTTTTTTTTTATATAGTTCTTTGTGATTTATATGTTTGAAAGGTTCTATCTTGGTTGAGAGCGAGTTGAGTTCCTTACAGGTATCTTACTTGGGAACGCAGAATAGCATTTCCGAGTAAGAAACATCACCCAAGTAGGAGTTTCCTGCTACCAACCTTCTTTTCAGCTGACCGAGGGTTCCTTCTCCACAATCTAGGAGGATGCTTCCTTTCGAGAAAAGATTGATGAAGATAGAACTAACATTTCGGTACTTAGAGGTTGGGACGAACCAGTCCCCAAAAGAACAATCTCCATGTCTTCTCTTGAAATATCTTCCAAGCAACTAGGAAGAGTATTGTCATTCAACCATGGATCTTCGATCATGACAGTCGTATCCTCTCTTGTCTGTTTGTCCCCATGCCAGAACCGGGTAACTTGTTGGGCAGCATCTACAATCACAGGAATGTCTAAAAGGAACTCATCAATGACTTCTGAAGCAGAAATTGAACTTGGAACACCGGATCTATCTAATCCAAGCTGAGCATAAGGACGCAAATGGAACTGTTTGAAACATAACAAACATTGGAATACTTTGTATCAAACCCTAAAACCTATGTATCAAAGACAATTATAGGCCATTATATATTTCAATCTGATGAGTATTATTTGGCAGATATGAACACAAACTGAATTCAATGACCCAGTAGAATCATAAGATTCGAAACCTGATCATAGACAGGATTAAAAAGTTTCACAGAAGAAAAGATGAAAACAGCCCTGAAGCATGTAAAGAATGGGAAGGATTTAAACAGTCATTTCATCAACGGCCAATTTCAGCCTGATCAGTAAACTGTTTGTACTTTGTACCTTTAGGAGATTTTCAGCAGAGATGCTTTCACAAAGCTTTGAAACAGGAACCTGTGAGCAAGAAACCAAGTCAAGTGCTCGATAACCAGAAAACATACTAAAATTTAACAGTCACCAAAACTCATGCAACAAACAAACCTCAATCAATGCCCTAGAGCCAGGCACTGAGCCATTGGGATGTTGAAGAGACCAAAAACCAGGAGCTGGAAACAACTGAGGACACAGGTAATTAAGTCGTGCTGCAATCCTTGCACTTGATTTTAAAATAGGAACCTCAATGTTCTTCCTGCACAAACGATAAAATAACTGCATGCTCCCTTGAGAATGAATGACAAAACAACACAGAACAACTTCTTCATATGCATTCGGAGAAGACTAAACTCACCTTTCATGTCCTGCCATGACATGTTGGGCACCCCTAAATCTTGTCATCCACTTCTGATAAGCATTGGTGTTTATGACGGATGCAGGACATAGGTAAACGATGCAATTCACAGATTTGGAAGTCTCTACTGGGTTGCTCGACATATCTCCATAATAACTGCTAAGAGTCTGCAAAGACAACAACTCTTGCAAATGACATGATGTTGGGCAGTCGACAATGAGTACGATAGGACCTGGAATAGAAGGACCCAACACGTCGCTAGGATGAACCTACATAATAAAGTAAGAGACATACAATCAAAAGCATATATGAAAGGGATTTTGAAACCCACCATGATATTTTGATGATCTGATTTCACTGAATTCCCCAATTGCAGTTCACGACACTTCGGCCCAGGTTTCAATCCAAGAGCAACAGCTTTTTTTGGATCGAATTTCCCCTTAATTTCAGGCAATTCACAGACATATATCACAGATATATCACCAGGCTTTAACACAAGCTTAACTTCATTATTTGGACTTTGTGGTAAACAGGTTTCTGAATATTGATTTCTTCTATCCTCTAGATCTAATTCTGTCACTTCTGAGGAGATTGGTCGCAGGAGCAAAGCTGATATTTTGACAACCTCGTCATCAATGAGAATAATAGGTTCAGTAAACTTCTTTGGATCAGGAATAGAAACCCCTTCAGAACCCAGTGATGGTCCAAAACTATTTGTGTGAACCATGGAAGCCTTTGGGATAAATGACCTCATTGCATCAACTAAGTACTTCAGATCTGAAGGTCCCCATACATTGACCTTAAAAAAAAATAGCAATCATTGACATTATTTATCAGTCTGATAGTCTGATTCCGTTTCACTGGGAAAAGGAGAAAAAAAAAAAGAAAAAAGTTACTGATAGATCAAGCAAATTCATACTCACAGACATTCCTTCTTCTCCCATGCCAGCCAATGTCAATAAAAGACCTGGAAAATAGAGTAGAAACTAAAGTGTTTCATGGACTCTCAAAACATCACCACACTTAAATAATAAAGTAGAATATTAATGTCTTAAAAATAATTTTTAATATTTTTAATTCATAATTGTTTTACACTATAGGTAAAGGGCAATTTTTTTTAGTGAAATTTCAAATATAATTTTAGGATACAAACCTGGAAGTCCACTGGCAGTTTCTGAGCATACACGAGAGAGAAATATGTAATCAATCTAAAGAAAGGAACAGTATCAGTGTGTCCATCCACTCCACAGACAAAGGAACAATATTCTAGTTAAAGATGAAGAATCTAAAAATATGCATCCATCCACAAAAGAAGAAAAAGAAATTAGAAAGTTGGAAGATACCTTTGACAGCTTAATTTTATGCTCTGTACAGAAGCGTTGCAATCCCTGGAACAAGAATTACATACTAAAGAGTGTGATTGTTGTGAAGCTCCAAACCATTTCTTTAAAAATAAAATCCAAGAAAAAAAGGAAGAAAGAAAAGAGTAGAAATTAACATCTTCAATCCCATAGTTCTATAAGATATCCAAAGGTAATAAAAGAACTACTTCTGTATCCTTTAAACTAGCACATATTGGATCAGACACATGGCCAGTCAAAGTACTCAAAAGGAAAAATGGATAACCAAAAGTTTTACTACAACTCATTTTGTTTCTTAGACTATTGTAGAAAATATAATAGGAAAGTTGAAGCATTTGAGTTCTTTAAAAAAAAAAATTTAAAAAATAGACTTATTATAAGAAAAACAATAGCCATCCTGGTAAACAAGCAAGTGTAATAAAGAAGCCAAATTGACATTGTTGGCAAAAAATTCACATCAAATTTCAACCAAACCTAAATGAGGTCACTGAATCAAAAAGTTGTACAATAAGGGAATTGACAACAAGCTGAGGGTAACATTACACCCAATAAACCATGTAAAAAATATTAAAATGAATAGGAAGACGAAACCATGGACATTTATTTTCCTTTACACTAATGGGTAACTAATACAAGAAAGAAATTCAATTAGTAGACGGAATTCCTACTTGGTGACTAACAAGCAATCCTTACTTCTCCAGCATTAAATATAAATCTTTGCTTGTCAAAGAAAAGCGAGACTGATGGTGATGTATCCTGAGTATCCATTCCTGTCCCCATAATCTGCAACATAGAGACAGCTAAAAATTTAATATTTTTGATTCAAAAACTGCAAAAAAGGCAGCAAAATAAAAAATAAAAACAACCCAGGGTCCAAAAACTATATAATAGAATCCACAATGCTAATAAAAAAACATTGTATCTACAATCCTAGGAAACCACACCATCAAACATGACATGAATGTTCAAACTTTGTCATATTCCCTGTTGTCAACCTCAAAGTTTCCAAAAAACCAGTTGAGAGAAACATAATTCATGAAAGGGTAATGCTATACAAACAGAATTTGTATATATAAAATTCATACAAAATGATGAGTCTCATTTATATTCATTCAAAAAAAAAAAAAAAAAAAATCACTATAGTTTGTACTTGCAACAAGTGATTGCCACATATGTATGGGTTTTTTCAAATAAAAATTATTTATGTTTAGCATTTTCCTTCATGAAGGTGAACCCAAGGGGTGGCTAGGAGTGGCCATGGTCTCTACAAACATTTCCTTTGAAGTTCCAATTTGTTTGAAGCCTTTAGCTAGGTCATGCTACAATACACATGATTGTGTAATATATGCAAGTAATGGTCTAAATTGGTGTTGGTTATGAATCATTGTAATGTTTGGTTATGGGCTATTGTGGTGGCAAGGCTAGCAAATTGTTAAATCAAAATTGGTTATATCCCTTAATAATATTCGATTATGTCTTAGAGCGGTATGGATTCTGACTCATTGTTGTGACTTTGGTTATGACTAAATTGGTCACCGGTTATATTATAGCTAAAATTGGTGTTAGTTATGACCCAACTATGGCTATTATGTAAAAAAAGTACTTATGTGCTCTGTTATTAGAATCGTACGATTCGATTCGATTCGATACGCTTCAGTGGGTAATTGATACGAACAGGTTTTGTGAATCGTAGGTGAATCGTTGAATCGTGAATTGCTAAAATTAATGTTTGGCTTTCTTTTTTGCTATTTTATTGTTGGAAAATGGCTCACACAACTTTTTAAGGTCTTTAGGATTACTATATGCCATCTTTTGACTTTCTCCCTCTCTGTTTACTCTCAAATACTCAAACCGTAGCCCAAAAAAATAAACTTTCTCTCTCTACAATATTCTAGGCTTACATATTCAATTTTATTTAAGTACTTGTATTTACAAAATAAATTTTTTGAACGTATCAAGTGAGATTTTAGAAAACACTTGAAGATTTTGGTTTTTTTAACCTTGTAAAAAGTTAAAAAAAATTTGTTTTTGAGTTATTGTTACGTGAAAATTAACAGTTTGTCTTTGTTTGCTTTCTTTATTAGAAATGGTTTATAAGAAATAGTATGTAAAAGGGAAATTTCTTACCTAGATCACATGCTCATCATTTAAAACAATATTTTCATTGATTCAAGTTTAAATATTTTATATTTATTAGATATATTTAATATCTAAGTGTGTAGATATATTTTTCTATGTAATTTAAAAAATGTCACCGAAACTTTACGATTCAATTCGATTTGCAATTTGGTACAATACCATTTCGATTCACCATTGAATCCCGATTTGACAAATATGCTTACATGTTATCGTTTTTCGAAATTTTTTTAAAGTGTGTAAAAAGTACTTTATAATCCTATTTTTATACTTTTTGTTTTGTAGATATTTATTCAATATTAACTAACATTTTTATTTGTGAATTTAATGATAATATTCAATTTTTATGCTTATAAAAGTGAATATTTTAGGATAACATATGCACTAAAACTTTATTAAGAATGTAATAAAATAAATTTTGTAATCAATTTTTATTGTATATGTATATTATTTGGCCCCTCCTAACAAGATTTCTGGCTCCGCCATTGCATTTGCATATACCCTCTGCTCGAAACCAAAATCCACAAGTCCAGTTCTTAAAAACACTAAAACAAAAAATCTAACAAAATTAATACATGGCACCAACATTAAAAGGACCTTTCTCCCAATTGAACCAACTGTCCGATAAACAATTTCACCAAAAATTCTGGAACATTTTTCATTTACAGACTAATCAAACCCTTTAAGATAGACCCAGTTAAGATTAGGAAATGGAAATCAAAACCCACAGAGCAAATCAGTTGTATATACATACATACATACATACATACATACATACATATATATATATATATATAGGCATAGAACGGACATACCTGAACGGAGCAAATGGTATTGGAAGGATTAAGCTTGCGGTCCTTCAGGGGGAGAATTTTTCTGGGTCTATCACTGTTATCTGTGCCCTCAGCCCGTTTCTTGTTAAACCTAACAGACTCAGTCTCTTCCATTTCAAACCCTTTCTCTCTCTTCCCAGTCTCTGTCAAAGAACTGTTGTTCCTGCGGGTGAGATTGAGAGGAGGACGGGAATGGCCTCGCCGTTTCTTGGAGTGGGAAGAAGAGAAGGCAGTGAAGAGAGAGGTGGGTTTCAGAGTTTGAGAGGTTTTGGAGAAGAGGAGAGAGAGGGAAGAGAACGAGGGTCTGAGAGGAGAGAGAATGAAGGGAGAGGTGGGGTGATTGGCGGGAGTGGGGATCCTCTCCTTGCAGCTTCCGTGTTTGCACCCGTCCTTGTAGGCCTTCGGGTCTACTTTTAGGCCCAATTTTGATAATCCGAACCGTTCATATTTTATGATTTATTCATTATATCATACCTGTAAAAAATCAAGTTGATCGGATATCAGAAAGCATATGTTCGGAAAACTGTTTAATAAATTCTTTAAAAAATAGTGTTTAGTTCAATTTTCAAACACATACTTTCTGATATCCGATCAACTTGATTTTTTACAGGTATGATATACTGAATAAATCATAAAATATAAACGGTTCGGATTATCAAAATTGAGCCTAAAAGTAAACCCGAAGGCCTGTAAGAACGGACGCAAGCACAAACTTGCAAGGAGAGGCTCTTGACTCGATTGGCGGAGGAGAGTAGGAGACGAAGAGTTGCTAGTTGGGGCATTCTTGTTTAATCAACTTGTAGGAAATGTTTTTGTTTTTGGGGTTTAGGACTTGGTAAAATAATTTGAATAATTTGAATTCAAAAAAAAAATGAATTTTGGTTTTGTACAAATCAAATTAATTTATTTAAGGAGTTTTTTTTTTAGGGTATATTAAAAATTTATAGTATAAAGGACATTTAATATTTTCATAATGTCTAAGGTCCCTCAATATTGAACAAGAGAAATTTCATTTCAGAGAAATTTCAGCCCAGAGAAATTCTAGTCCAAAGAAATTTCAGCCCAGAGAAATTTTTGCCAGAGAAATTCTATTCAAAGAAATTATGGGCTTCCAAAGAATTTATCTGGGTTCAAGACTTTGAACATTCAAATTTCTCTGGATCTATGGATTAACATAAAAAAAAAAAATCACAATATCAACAACCCTCAAAATGACACACCATTTGTCTTCATTTGTACTTTGAATTAACACACATCAACAATGTAGAAGGTGATCAATCTTGTAATCAGACATGACAAAGTGAATGCACAAAAATTCATAACAGAATACCCATTCTTAAATGTTAAAATCAGAGCCTTTGATTTTATCCAAAATGCAAACTCAGAGAAAATCTCAAACTCAGAGAAAATCTATATGATAGGCAATGGAACATTTTAAAGTGTGATTTCTGGGTTTTTTTTTTTTTTTCTTGATATATGATATTCTAGTTTTTCTCTTGCCCATTATATGTTGAAAATCATATAGATTTATTATTACTTCTGTACATGTATTGTTGATTAAGAGAAAATCTCAAACTCAGAGAAAATCTCACTCTAACCCAGAGAAAATTGCTAAATCTAGAGAAAATTCAAGGATAATCCAGGGAAAATTGTCAAATTCAGAGAAAATTTCCAAATCCAGAGAAAATTGCCAAATCCAGAGAAAAGTGACCAAGTCCAGAGAAATTCAACACTGTCAACACTGTCATTGATATGCACATGTCAACAATTATAAACCTTTAAATTTAAATTTAGGTATAAAAATGCACTGTTAAGGAATCACATATCCTGTCTGTTTTTCATAGTCTCGATCCAAAGTTAGCATTAAGAAATCTAGAGTGATATGTAAGTAGAGAACTCAGATTCAGTTTTCACTCATATAATACATCAATTCAGACAAGAAGCAACCATTTTTAACTCTTGAATACATAAAATTGATGAATTATGTATTCTATAAAACTCTCGAATCATCTTATTACAAGAATCTCAGTTATTCACATGGAACTCCACATTTCTAGATTCAAATAATAAATAACCATAAAACAAATTGAAAAAAACAAGAGAGACAAAGTCACATACTAGACTGTTACAATTGATACATCTCCGATTCTCTGGAAGCTTCAAAAGGTTGCGAATGATTCATTCGATTCTGTCTTCTTCCTTCACTCGGATCGACAGTGACCCAGATCGAATTCTGGGCACATATTGGATTGCTTGTCTGTGTGATTCATTGTATTGCGATGAATCCCAAGAGCACTGTGGACTTGTGTGTGTGTGTGTGCGCGCGCGCGTGCTAATCTCGTAAAGTGATCTTCGGAAATGTGGGGGTGAAACATAAATCTGGTTTTCTGAATGTCCAATTCCTTCTTCCTAAGCGTCCATTTTCGTACACAAATTCCTCAGTTTCATGAGCAAACCCTCGTCGTCATCAACTTCGCCTTCTCCACCACCGTCGCTGCTGCCGACGTTGTCAAGAGCGACCGCCTTGCACTGCTGGACCTTAATCAATATTCAAGTTGCATCACAAGTTCTGATCTTGTTCATCAAGGAGGTTTTGCTCGAGAGGCGAAGGAGATAGAGCAAGATTCGGTAATGGAGCAGTTGGTAGAGAGAGAAGTCAAATTTCTCTGTGTGGAGTTGAAGGACCTTAGACATTATAAAATAATGTTGTGAATCTCTTCCATTATTAAAAATGGGAGAAGGACCTTAGACTAATTTCTCTTTATTTAATACTGTTCAAAAAAAAAATTTATTTAATTAATCTATTTTATAAGTTTGAAAAAAAATATAATAAATTTTATAATTTTATTATAAATATGTCAATCTTCTTTTTATTAAGAGTTCATTTGGAATGTGTGTTAGTTTTTTTATTTTTGTGAGAGAAAAAATGAAATGATTATGGTTTAGACAAGACATTTTATCTTATTAACTTTTTGACTTATTTTATTATTTTGTGGCTAAAACCGCGTTTTAACCCCAAAACTTGCTATGCCAAATGGGTGCTAAGGTTATCACGCCAATGATACAAACATAAAAAATAAATAAGATAAAATATATGTTTTAGTGTAAAGTATAAATTACAAATACACCATTGGAGATTTGTTTAAAGTACAGATTATTCCCTGTGATTTGAAAAATTACAAATATTTCCTTGTCAGAATTTTTTATATAATAGAATTAACTAAAAAAATAAAATTTATAATTGTTCTCCTATACATTAATAAAATTACTTAAATTATTAATTGAAACATATTTCTAACATCATTAAAAAATGTTAGGGTAAATTACACTGACACCTCCTGAGATTTTTGTTTAATATAAATTATCCCCTTACTGTCACGATCCAAACCCGTCTTTATGGGTTTAGTGTCATAACTGGCTAATAATTTGTGATTACCAAAGGCCTACTTAATAGTATTAACAGTAGTTTAATAATAGGGACTAGCGGAAGCAATAAATATTATAATAAATCGAACTGTGAGGACTTAAATAAACAAACAATTTATTTATATATATATACACACTTAAGTCCAAAACACATCTAAGTACAAAATAAAAGACATATTAGGGAATTAAATCCCAAATCCAAAACAAATTATAAAACATTCACTTGATTTCATACAAACATTCAAAATGATTTAGATTACCCAAAGCCTTAACACATGTCGATTCAGAACCTTGCACTAGGGCACGGTAGTTGGCTTGACAAAACGGAGGTTCAGGTCAGTGCCGCTAAGTCCGATCCAGTGCCTGATCACCTACATACATATAGATATAAACGGTGAGCTAAAATCTAATGAATAACAAATGTGTAAAGGGTTTATGAATGATGTCCTTATAACAATTCCAAACAGTCAATTTCAGTAATGAATCAGTTCAATAAGCAGTATTTATATATTTCAGTGTCATATGAAATCATTACAGTCATATGTGGTACATTCCATAGCAAAACAGTACAATAGGTATTAAAGACCGAATAGTCAGTTGATCGCCATCAATACAGTAACATTAGTTCCAAAGATTGGAACTGACAAAGATCTCTGTAACAGTAACAGTAGCAATAATAGTAACAGTAGCAATAACAATTGCTATGGATGCCACAAGTATAGTTTACAAAATAGGACAATCATTCATTCAAGAAATAGTATCATTTTGGAAGACAGTACATTTAATTGATCAGAAAATAATTATAATTGAACATAACTCTACAACATTGTTACTCACAGTGGGCTCCTTGAAACACGTGTTAAAATGCACTAAAGATGCGGCCTCCGACTTAAACAAACAAATTCAAGCACAACGATTCAATACACAATTCATTCATTCAGTCGGTTCTATTCGTTCTTCACTTATTCAGTTTCTATTCGATGTTCACTTTTTCGGTTTCTATCCATTGCTTATCCGTTTGGTTAAACTTTTGTTCTTTAATTCATTCATGTTCATGAGATGCAAATGAACATGAAAAAACACTTTAAAACCATGCAAACGGAGGCCAGAAAGGTAGAAAAGAAGAGCGAAAACGAAACAGAAACTGCCTTTAAAACCTCACATGCAGGGGCACTGGCCGCACGTGCGGAACCTCCACCGCACGTGCGCCCCACACGTGCAATTATTTCAAAATGTATCTCTAAACTTCCCTATTTTTCGCACGTGCGGGGCTCTAGGCCACACGTGCGATGCTGAGTGATGTTGAGCAAGTTTGGAGCTCAAGGTTTACAATTTCTGTTAGATAATGTCTCAATGGGACCACATAATTAAATGTGGTGTTATCATTTATAAGAAGCCTACAATTTAATTGATTCAATTTAGTTAATAGGCTTAAGGGTATATGTGTTATGGACCTAATGTGTAGATACTAGTTGTATAATTTCTATTTCTATGAGGGGCAGTGTATCTCTAAACTGCCCTATTTTTCGCACGTGCGGGGCTCTAGGCCACACGTGTGATGTTGAGTGATGTTGAGCAAGTTTGGAGCTCAAGGTTTGTAATTTCAACCTCATTTTCATGCAATTCAAGTCCCAAAACTTGGCAAAAACACCTTGAATTTAACATATCTAGTTTCAAACAAAATTCATGGCTTCAAATTGAAGCTTCAAAACCATGCAAAGAGTTCAAACTTTTGGAATTAAAAACAAAATCATATTTCATACAAATTGAACTCCAACTCTTTGAGTTTTCCTCCTAGATTTTGAAAACTCAAACAAAAAGTAAGGAAACAAGTAAATGATCATGGATTCCATAGAAAATTATGTCATGCATGTGAATATATTACACCATCTCTTTCAATTTTCCACTTTTATGCTCATATAAGGATTCTCAACTTTGTT